AATATGGGACCCATGGTTCTACCAATTCTCAATTTCTGCATAACATACACTGGAAGAGGCTACGCACACAAGACCTAAGTCCCCACATCAAATACCCCCCTTCCTTTTTTTTTTCCTCCTTTCTCTCTCTCTCTCTCCCCACCCTTCCTCGTACCAACACGCGACCACCTCACGACACCAGCAACCTATACGACTAAAAAGAAGGAGGACACAAGACCCCATTTAGCTCAGAACACACCAACCCACCTCCCCAACCCAAAAACACCCCATCAAATTCCCGAACCCAAGACCAACAAGAATCGGCTGAACCTTATACACATACACCCGCAAGCCACACGAAAAAACGCCTCAACGCTCACATAGCCCACTCCAATGCTACAAAACCCACTACACCATAACAGGCAAGGCTCAAACGACATAATCTCACACAGGAACGGTCCACTCACAGCCCGACCCAAGAGATAGAAAGACATGAAACTATAAGGAAACAGAAACAGAAAATATGCCCCCTACCCTCCCTAACCCCCAGAAACTGAAAGAACTCCCAAACCTAAATCCCAGTTACCACATCGTGCCCCAAAACCAAGAAATTGTGCAATGTGATATGTATGTTGGACACGCTCCAAACCTTGCTCCTCATGTAAGAACAAGCATGTAACTTTATTGTTATCCATTAAACCATGAAATGCGGAACAATGTGAACGCTGTACTAACATGTCCACCACTTTGTTATAATTTTCTCAATGCACAAAATAAAATAAAGAATAAAAAAAATAAATGAATATTATTTTGTTTCCAAAGAGTCTAGTTCAAATCTTCTGTAATTACCTCCAAAATTCCCATTTTATTCATTGGTAGTAGTTTTGACTTAATTTGCATTTGTTTTTTTATGGTTACCAAAGCTCGTATTAGTTGAATTAAAACTGTACTTTGCGGTTTTAATGAGCTAATTAATTGTTATTCATTAACATTCCATATAATTAAAGATAAATCTTGAAACCCTGTCATAAACCTTTCAATGTCTTGCCATGCTTCAAATTCTGTGGAAAAAGATTGTAGATGATATAAGTTTATACAAGTTATAAACATCAGCTATATACAAATTTTTTATATGTGGGAATCCTAAACCTTTTTTCTTAGTCATAGATAAAATCTTATGGCTAATCCTGGGAGGCTTTGCTTTAAATATAAAATTGGATGTGCTCGATTGTAACATTAAAAGCCAAGGATTAGACATTTAAAGGGGTATCGTTTGAAACATATATGTCCATTGAGGAATAATATCACTATTTATTAAATTGATAA